TAAAGCAGCAGATAAAAATCTGTGCCAGACAATTTCTTGAGCAAGAACCTGGAAATCCCACCAAAACACCTGAAACCACAGTGCTCTATTACCTGGCACAGAATTATGTTCTCATGAAGACATTACTTTTATATTCTTCGGGTGTTTATGATGTTAAGATGAACAGACAATGCATTTATTACAATCATCCCAAGCTCTCAGCAGGCTACGTTTAAGAAAAAGAGAAAGAAGGGAAAAGAAATTAAGCTGGACAGCAGAAGCATAAACTAAAAGAGCAAAGAAATCATCAGCCAACTCTCTCTAACACCCTAAGAGCTCTTGCTGTGTTCTGCAGGAGGGAGAGCTGGTTGATGGCCTTGAAGTCACAGCTGCCGCTGGCTTAGCCACATGGGCCAGAAGTTGAGCATCCAGATGGCATCTGATGAGCTGACGGAAAGCATGAGACCTGAGACCTTCCAAGTGCCTGCTGTGACAGTGATGGAGTGGCATGCCAACCAGAAATGCCTGTATCTTGACAGTTTCCCCTTTCAACATATGTCCCTGCGCATCCAGCTGGAAGCAGATGCCTGGGCTTGATTGCTCTATACCAAAAAAGGAAAGAACTCATCACCCACCGACTGGAATCACCAGGGACTGAGGACTGCCAAGAACAGAACCCAATCAAGATGAAGCAGAATCATCCAGGGACTGTCAGCAGTCAGAAACTACCAACTGCTACCCATAATTTAACAGGAATTTTGCTTCCTTAGCATGTGATTTATTTGGAAGAAGCTAACTTCTCAATGAAGCCAAAAAGCACTTCACTGAAATGATCTATTCTTGTGCTTAGCTCAGTTCAAGAACCAAAGCCGAATTCAACAAGCTTTCAGACAAACTTATCATGGTCAAACCTGCTTAGCCCACACACTCTAGTCTGGTTCCTTGGAAGTAACATGACTCACTGATAGTTAGGACACAGTAAAGGAAAAGAAAGCCTCTCTTCAAATTCTCCATCCATGAAGGAAAATACTTCTCTGTTAAGTTCCATCTTTGAGGAAAATGACTTTAAAAGGACTTAGGGGAACCAGCTCGACAAAATGAGCCCATCAAAGAGTAAACACGCACAGGACACTATTCCCAAACCCTTCGTAATTAAGCCTTATAACACTGACACAATCACACAGTTTATTTTTAAACAACAGTTTAGTTCATTTTATTTTTTGAAACACATTTCTCACCATTTCTATCAATTCCATCCTCCCTACCCTACGTGTCCTTCTCACCAACCCTCACCTCCTCTCTGCAGGGCCTTGGCACTCACTGAGCACGCCTGCTGCCCAGCATCAGCACCAGTGCAAAGCCTCAGCAAGCCCCATCAGCAGGCCAGACTAAGAGAACAGGAAACTGTGAAAACAGTTGGGGTGCTTGGCACAAAGAGCAGAAAAGGCTATCATTCTGGTATTGTGTTCAAATGACAGCAGCCTAGGTATAAACAGGTTCCGATGGGTAGCAAATAACCCATAACTGTAATTACACTGGTTGGCTCTGGACAGGGTCATCACGTAATGCAGTCAAAGCCACTGCTTCTTACACTGACCACCAACACACGGCACCCTACTCACGTCACAGCCATTTAAAGACGGAAGAATTCATACTACTGAAGAGAGCTAACACCACAGCAAAATGTGCCCAGATCATCCTTAAACAAGGTGAAGGAAGTGAGGGAGAAACTATTAGCTGCAATTTAAATTCTTCAAGATCTCTTTAAAATGAAATCTTTTGTTTTGTTTTGTTTTTGGTACCGGGGATTGAACTCTGGTCCCTGAGCTTGCACAGCAGGCATTGGAACCACTGAGCTAAATCCCCAGCCCTAAAATGAAATCTTGGTTAATATCTGCTTCTATGGTAGTTTGTATCCTGACTAAACATTCATCATTAAGGTTTTCACTTTCAGTAAGGGATTTTAAAGTAAGGCATGGGGGATCTATTACATAAATATGAATCCACAAACTTCACTTTTAACTGTTGGATACAGTTTTGTGTAGACCCACATCTTCACAGATTCATTTCATTATCTGAAGTAGCGGCTGAAGGAGAATGGAAGAGGCTAATCTGAGTTAGTCAACACAGTCAGTGCACGCAACACTGAGGAGACCCCAGTCGATACTCGGCAGTAACAGGCTTCCAACACTGATTTTTTCTGTCACTGAAAATCTCCCTTCACTTGCTCAGAGTCACTCTCAAAGCTGTTAATAATGATCTCAAACACATTCACTCTCCTCATAGGCTCATCCATGTGCCATAAAAGTTCAAAAGTTTACCTCAGGAGTTTAATTTGCACAGCCCTTCCTTCTTAGGGGAAAAGAGTGCAGTGCAAGGCCTATGGAAATAAAGCATTAAAATGACACTTAAAAGATCAGTTCCCCATTTCATCGGGAAAGGTCAAAATACTTAACATGCCTCCCCAAGTCCCCTGAATTGAATTACCTTACAACTGCATTTCAGTGCTAAACTCCTCTTGTGCTGAACCTGAATTTCTTGATTTGCATCATGTTCAAGGTGTTTGTAAGAAAAATTTTCAGGATCCCCTGAAGTGAAAACCTGACCACTGTCTGACCCAGAAAGGCAGAAGATGAGCTCACTTTTAAGTAAAAATGTCACGATCATCATTTAGCTAAGTTCTGAGAGAAGGGGATTATTCTCTGCCACAGTCTCAGCATCAAAAAACAGCACCTGCCACACACAGTAGGTCTTAGTGAACACTGTCCATGAATGATCCAGAACAGATCCGTCAGGGTAGCAGGGCAAAGTGGGAACATCCAAGTATTGTTCTCAACCCCTACTATGGTCATTGTTATTTACATATGAAATAATCGGGTACATACATGAGGAATGAAGATAAGATTTCATCTGGAACTCACTGGACTTTCTAGTGGGAAAGGGAAAACATGTCCACATGTTTATGACTTTGATGTTTTGAAGAGGGCAGGGGAAGGAATATTTACACAGAAACATTTCTCATTTTACATAGAGAAATTCAGGGCCAAGGATATAGCTCAGTGGCACCATGCCTGCCTGGCAAATGCAAGGTCCTGAGTTCGATCCCCAGTACCAAAAAAAAGGAGAAAAATTCACTAACAGGTAGTAGCACCTGAAACAGGATCTCTTTCCAAGATGTGTGTCCTCAGTCCTGGTTTTCTTTATATTTTCCCCCAAGAAGATAGCCACTGAATCACACATAAAATCAGCCCACTTAATGACTCACTTGCAGTAGGGTTTTCCCTGGGCTTGGATTTGTTCTAGCATTAGGTAATTTCTTTTTTTTTTTATAGCCAAACATTTAGTGGTACATTTTAGGCATACATAATGATAACACTCATCGTGGGGAATTTGCACCTGTACACGGTACATAATTTCTGAAAACACTTTACCAGACACTGTTTAGCCCATGTTTTTTGTCCACCTCACAAGGATGCACGCAATACAAAAACTCGCAATGGAACTGAACTACAAAGATCCTACAAATTCATCCCTTCCTGTCCACTAGCAGGTCCACCACCCTCACTAGGCAACCTGCACAGCACACGGACACAGTGTCCACAACACAAGTTAACACTGACAGCAGAACAGTGCTGTGTGCCGGCCAAGACCTGCCACCTCCTCTCGGTCCCACCAGCCAGCCTGCAGTGTGCATTATATTCAGGTTCAGAGATCAAAACAACTCATCCAGATCAAGTAGGTGAGGATTCCAGCACAGACCTGAGGCAGGCACTGTGATGTGGAACTGGACAACACACGGGAGGTGCTCGTCCACTTCCCACAACACAGCAGACAGTGGCCACACAAGCTTCCTTCGTGCTCCTGAAGGGCCGTTTCACCACCATGCTGAAGTTGTCCAGCAGTGGCTTGCAACGGCTGACTGTTAAATGTGCAGGAATTTTGTAAGTCAGGTATTAAAACGAATCACTACTGAGAATTAAATTATATAAGCTTAAATAAACTGCACTGAAAGCAAAGGTGCTCCAGCTCACCACCTCCTGGTTCGTTTACTCCACCTGCTGTTACACGTGCTCCTGAGATTATTCATGTCTACTGGACTGCCTGGTGGAAATGGCCTGGTGGCAGGCACAGCCCCCTTACGCCATGGTTAGTGTCATACTCAGGCTTGACACACATGTCAGCCACAGCGGGAGCATTTACATGAAACTGGCAGGTGCTTAGGTCAGGATTTCCTCTTTGGAGAGCCAGTTATGAAACAGGGAATAACAGTATACTTCTGGCACTATTTCATCTTACCCCTTTCTATGCCCACATCTTCACCTTTCAGTTAATCTACACAGTCTACACAGTCGTGTGCACACACAGAGCCATAAAATTTAAAATAAAAATAAAAACAAAAAGCTAACTTTCCTCTAGTTAACATCTTTGCTCCCTGTTACTTCACTGTCAGATTTACCCAAAATATTTTATCTATGCTTAATTCTAATACTTTCCTATGATCCAGCCATTACTGTATCCATGTCACAAATATATAAACTGCTATTAGCCAGGTGCTGTGTTGGGAACTGGAATCCAATCCCAAGCAAACCCAACGAAGTCCCACTTTCACAGGGTTCACAGTCCCACTGCAGCCTAACTTCTATGCTGCCCTGAAGTCCTCAACTGTCAGCAATCCCTGCTGAACCTGTGTCCGAAACACATCCCCAAACTCGGCCACCTTCATCTCAGTCCCTGGCCCCAGCCAAGGCCCTTTCATCCCACAGTAAGTGTCAAACCGTCCCAGCCCTTTCCCTTCTTTGCTCTTGCTCCCCAGGGCATACTCCACTTGATTCCTCCAGCAGCTGCTCCTTTCTTAGGCAACCTAAGACAGGAGAAGCAGGGAGCAAGGGAAGAGGAGAGAAACAGGGGAGGGACACCACGCAGTGCTGGCTGGCTCTGTGCTTTCATTCTGGGAGGATTGCAGGCTGCACTGGAGAGGGTGGGCATGAGAGCATGCACAGCTGAGAGAGTGACCCTAGTACCTCATGAGGGACCACACGGCTCGCGGAGACACTGGGATGCCACTGCTCTTGGGCTCCTGTGGCAGTCCAGGGTGGCAGCCACCCCAAGCTCCTCTGTGGGGGATCTGCTGCTTCCCGTTCTCCCGCTGAGGGTGGGCCAGAGGGGAGGCCAGCTGGAGGCTCCCAGGGCGCTGTGGGCCACGCTGATGGAGGGCCCCATTGCTCCTACATGCACACAGTGGGGAGAAAACAAGGTCAAACAGAAGACGAGGCTTACAAGAGCAAACACCAGCACCCTGCCTAGCTCAGTCTTGCTCCCAGAAGCAACCGTCCTTGATTCTTCCAGCCCTATATTCCTGGTATTTACCAATACACTGGGTTTTTTTCCTCAATTTTAGAAAACATCCCATTGACTTCCTACTGAGAAAGACTAGAACTTGTTCCATAGGCGGTCACTAACACACACACACATACCCCTCACCCTTCAACTGCATTTTTCTCATAATATTTGGGTGATACAGTATTCAGGATTCACACTATTATGGTCTTGCTAAACTGTTCATTGCTGGGCCAACCAAGAGACTCTAATAACATTTTCCTATTATGAGTCCTCTGAGAATTAGAATTCAAAAGAAAGCAAAAATAACCAGTCTGATACTAGCAAATGATGGTGAGAGTGTGAAACTTGGGAGATTTGCACTGACTGCTGCAGCCATTTTAGAAGCAGTGACCTGGGCAGCGACCCAGGAGCTCGAATCCACCTGCACCTGGCAGCTCCAGGGCCCTGCAGATGCCTGAGACCTCATGGATGAGAACAAAACACTTGCACAAAAATTTTCCATGCAGCAGAGTTTACAATGGAAAAACTAGGGAAATAAGCTAAACTCCAAATCCTGAAAAACGGAAAAACTATATAGGGCAGTTAAATGAACAAAATACAGCTGCTATATCAACAATGATGTATCTCCAAAGCCCAATGTTAAATGAAAAAAAAAAAACAGCAGTAATAACATTAATGTGAAGTTTGAAAATATGTAAAATACTACTATTTGATATTCACTGGTACATACACATGAAGTAAGGCTATAGAAACAAAATAGAAATGAAAAGTGCCAAGTTCAGGATTGAGGTTATCTCTACAGAAAGAATGTAGGGACTAGGGTTAGGAATGTCATTTTCTACATGTTGGAAATTATATCCTAATCTTTAAAAAAGAAGAAAAAAAAAAGGAAGCTGTCTTTATGAAGCCGACCCTCCCTTAAATATTTCCTCCTAAAGATGATGTCAAACAAAAGACCCCCCCCCATTCATGTGGCCCAACCTTAAATACAAGAATAAATGGCTCTTCTGATAGGCAAGGGCTTACAACATCTGCTTTTATGGCTGCCTCTTCCATCTTGCCTAGATGGTACAATGAAAGATCCTAGGAACCACCAAGTGCTATAATGTGTCCTCTAAAATAGCAAATACAGTGTGTGTGTGTGTGTGCGTGTGTGCGCGTGTGTGTGTTTGTTCGCCTCAGTCTAGTCACAAATCTGAAATTCCCAAAGGAGTTCGTGACTCCCCCACCACCAATACTCGCAAGCTCTAGGCTGGTCTAACTTTTTTTTAAAGTTTATTGGTACATTTTAGGTGTACATTATGATCATGTTCATTATTGGAAATTTGAACATGACATATCATGGTTCTTATTTTTTCCCATTTCCCTTGCCTCCCTTCAACCCCTCCACCTCTCCCTATTTATATAAGCTTTGTTTCCTTTTTGCCTTTTTTATCGATCCCCCAGTTCCCCTTCCCCTTGAACATTTTCTTCCTGTTTCACAATATCTATTATACATTTTGTTACTCATTTACACTTTGTTTCTCACATCCGAGAAACAATTTGGTATTTACACGCATGTCCTATTTATTGCACTTGAGAGTATAGCCTCAAGGTGCACCCATTTAGCTATAAATGTCTCTACTTTGTTTTTCTTTATAGCTCAGTAGTACTCCATTTTATATTTCAAAAAAAATCTTCTTTATCCAATCACCAGTTGATGGGCACGTGGGCTGTTTCCAAGATTTAGCTATTATAAACTGTGCCACTATAAACATGGGTGCACATACATCGCTGTGGTATGATGCTTTTAATTCTTTTGGGAAGATACTCAGCAGGGGAATAGCGGGGTCAAATGAGGCCTCTAATCCTAGTCTTTTGAGGAATCTCCACACTGATTTCCAGTGGTTGTACCAGTCTGCACTCTCACTAACAGTGGAGACAGGTTCCTTTTCCCCATAGCCCAGCCAGCATTTGTTATTGGTTAGGCTGGTCTAACTTGTCATGGTGCCAACCAACAGACAACCAACTGTTCAGAATCTCTAAGCCAGCCTGGGACAGGACCCACGCAGCCACCCTGTCCCATGTCCTCCCACACAGTGCTCAGGGTTACACACGAGAGCCACACGGACAGGGGTCCATGTTCCAGTCACACTCAGACTGGGTGACCGCAGGAGGTGCTCTCTGCACCTGTGACACAAACATGTGGCTGTGGAGATCACAGGGCCAGGCGCAGCACCAGGCACAGTACCAGCACTGAGGACATGCAGCCCTCGGGGCCGCGTCTCCACATCTGACGTGCCCCGTTCCTGCCTCCCATTTTCACAACTGTCACCAAGTCCCGTGTTGCTGTTCCGGGACATGTCACCCCCAGCACCCTCTCTGCTCCCCGGAGAGGAAAACATCTCGGCCTTGTTTTTGTCCAGGGACAGAATGGGCTGCGTGCTGAACAGGTGGACAAAGGATGAAGGATGAAGGAATGTCACTACCCGCTGCGCTGCTTGGCTGTGAGGGTGGACAGTTTCCAAGAATGAGCTGTGTGACTTCTAAATCACATATCAGCAGTAGCAGTCCTTCCCGGGAACTTCTAGTAGTTTAGTAAGATAAAGATAAGAGAGATTATTAAAGAGAATAATCCTTTTGTAGGGAGGAGAGGACACACTTGGATGGAGCCCAAGGCCTTCCCACTGAGCTACACCCCCTGCCCCTTTTTTTTTAAATTTTGAAGTGGGGTCTCACTAAGTCATTAAAGTATCAAAGCCGGGCTTAAATTTTCTCTTTCTTTTTGGTACCAGGGATTGAACTTGGGACCTTGTGCTTGCGAGGCAGGTGGTGGAACCAGTGAGCTAAATCCCCGACCCAGGGCTCAAATTTTCAGTCCTCCTGCCTCAGCCTCCCTAGATGCTTGGATTATAGGTGTGCACCCAGCCAATTATCCCCAATTCAATCAACAGTGACAGAGTAAGGAGGAGAGAAAGAAGTGCAGGCAACAGGAGCTGGAGGATCCCAGGCCCAGAGATTCGACTTCCGTGACAGCATCAAGACAGCTATGGACAGGATGGGTGGTGGGCACACATGCAGTCCTCTGTCCTGTCATTCTGCCACCAGGGAGGCAAAACACACAGGAGCCAGGAGGCAGAGACAAGGTGGACGCAAGGGGAAAGAGGGAAGCAAGAGGGTTTACAGGTTGTTCTCTGAGCAGCAAGGCCAGCAGCACAGTGAATGGTTTCAGCAGAGAGGAAAGGCCTCTGTCCACCTGTGGTCGAGCGAGGGGAGGGCTCTGCTCACCGGCTCCTCAGCAAGGCGGAGCTCGGGTTGGCCGCTAACTGGGCTCCATCTACACGCCTCCCTCTGCAACTTACAGGGCTCCAGCCAAGCATTCCCCAATATTTCAGTTATCTCCAAGCATTGTACCCCACGAAGAAAAGTGATCAGAATTTAATGACATCTCACACAATAGCACTGTGCTTATGTTTATGTCTGTAAGTATAAATAGGTAGGGAATGGGACAAAAAAGCCAGGATTTTTTTAAAAAGCAAAATCCTTCATCTGACAAGACAGGAAAATAAATCAAAAGTTCAAAAGTAAGGGCCTTATAATCACCGAAAAATGAAGTCTGCATGTAAAACTGTAGGTAATTACGGATTTGATAGGGGAAGAAATTAAGAGTATGTGCTTGAATTTTTAATACACCTTAGTTATTCTTATCATCTGCAAGGCACAGAATAAAATGAATGTGACTTAAGCTATGTAATTGAAAATGGGCTAAGCTTCTCATTGAAAATGCCATGTAAGTCAGTGCTGCTGCTCAATGTAGCCTGGCTCTAGGGGCAAATGTCAAAAGGCTCTTCCAAACACCCTCAACCAACCCTGGAGAAGCACAGACTCCAACTCAGGGGTACTCTGAGAGATCAACTCACTCACACTCAGATTCAAAGCTAGCTGCTAAAAACCAGTGTTCACAACCATTCTGTGTGAATGAAGATGCTCTTAGCAGTGTGTGACCAAAACAAACTGGAAGTATGAACTTGCAGTTCACATGGGTATGTTGAAAACTGAAGTTTCTAACTTAGGCGTCCACAAAATTCCACAGTCCTTACTAACTTTTATGAAAGTATGAAAAGTCTAGGCAGATAGCATGCGTTTATCTTAATGGAATAAGCGTTGTTTATTATATTACAATCTAAGGTAAGATGCATTTAACAAAATATTATCCATTTGGGGGAAAGCAATTCTCGTCCCAGGCGACACTTGCTATCAGAACTTTAAAGTAACTTACAATTTGTCCTGCTTGTGGGGGAGGGAAAAGAAGTCATAAACCAAGCACACTCCGAACACGGTGACACCGGTCTCCTTCACCAGCATCGCACAGGTCCCCAGAACCAAACTGAGCAACAGGAAGAAGGGTGAAGCCGAGGGAGGGAGCCGGCCCCCAGTGCCACACTGGTCCAGACCCCTGGAAAATAGGGGCAGTCTCAGAAACGTGGGTCATTTAAGACATTTAAAGATAAGATCTAGCATCAGTTTCATTGTACCCTAAGCAATTAAGTAAGTTAGCAAGGATATCTTCAAGAAGGTTCACCATGGAATCATTTAAAAATTGTAAGATAGAAAAAAAGTAAATGTCTAACAATACTAAACTTGGTACTTAAATTATGGTATATACAAATTATGATAAAATAGGAACAATAATGAATTAATGCTAAAAAGCCATATAAGGTATATTCAGTAAGGTGGAAAAATGTTTAAGAGAATGCTTTTTAAGAAACAATAAAAGGGGGCCGGGAATTTAGCTCAGTGGTTCCACCGCCTGCCTTGCAAGCACAAGGACCTAAGTTCAATCCCCAGTACCAAAAAAAAAAAAGAAACAATAAAAGTTTCAATCCCCAGTACCAAAAAAAAAAAAAAAAATCAAAAAGAAACAGTAGAAGTATAAAAGTTACTAACAACACTCCTGGCTCTGGGCAGTCACCAGGTCCACATCTGCTCTGCAGTTACCACAGGGTCAGGCAAAGCAGCTATTCTGCACACTGGGCTCCACGTGCCCAGCATGTGAGACAAGAGTGTTGTGCCACAGGGGGCTGAGTGAACATCTCAGTGCATGCCAAGATTGTCATCATCATTAGCCTAAAGTGTCCATGCAAAACGAAGGAGTCAGTACATATACAAGTGCAAATATAACAGCACTTCTCTCTGTGAGATTTTCAACTTTTTCTTTTCTTTTGGCCAATCCATGTTTTTAAATTTATCTTCCATGAGCATATATTTGGTAGAGTTTATTTCTTCTCAGCTTAGCTTGCAACAGGGATTTTTCAAAAACTATAGTGCTATCATGTCTTTCCACTGTATAAAAGAGAAGTGGCCCCCAAAATGTCCCTGTCCCTTCCGGAGACACCTCAACCGCTGGCTCCCACTCAAGCACAGGCCAGTACTTCTGAGCTTGTGATGTCTTCCTATTGTGCAGTCTTAGAATAATCAAATAAATTACATGCAACTTTTACAGTAGGTAGGCATTTTTCTAGGAAGTTGGTCTACAGCATAAAGTGTAAAAGTGAGCAGGGCACACACCACCAACCTGTCATGACACACTCGTTACCACACAGCTGTGGACACGCTGCCAGGCTAGTCAGGTTCCTATATATGACCCACACAGAGGTGATACCCCAGAGAACAAGTTTAAATTAAAGCAATTAATTCTGATCCAACACCCAAGTAAAGAAGAAACAAATGTTAAATTTGGACTTAAATTACAAGATTTCACAACACTGTTCATGACTACAAATTTAGTGGGAGTTTGCAAAGCCAGGACCTGGGGACTCCAGGCTCCAACCTCTGTAACAAAACTTCATGAGCCTTAATTCATTTCATTGTTGAACTAAGACGTCCACTAGTTTATAACAGTTTTGAGTCTCGGCACTATTGGCACTTTCTAGCAATGGACTCTTTGTCTGGGGACACTTGTTTAGCATCCTTGGATCATAGGGTGTTTATTTAGCAACACTTTTGGCTGTGACCCACTGGATGCCAGTGGTGCCCCTTCAGCTGTCCAACAAAAATGTCTGCCGACATTAGCAAAAGTTCCAGAAGGGAGAGGGTGGGGATGGCAGCTGGGAAGGGAGGGACATGCTCCTGAGGAAGAACCAGGGGTGGAGCACAGTGCTCTTCACAGAGTTCTGGGCCCTGTAAGATGAATGTCAGTGAGCCAATCTGAAGATCACGGTTCACAATTCCTTAAGCGGGCCTCTCCCCACGATGCAGACACAGCTGACCTGTGTCCTTCTGGGGGCCACACTCCACTCCAACCCCTCTGCCCTGCTCACATTGTTTTCCCAACTCTCCCCTCTCCCTATGTGGAGACCACATAACACAGGTGAGGATCTGACTGCATGGGAGTGAAGGCACACTCTAATGCAAAATTATTTTATTGCCTTTCATTTTCCCAAGGCAAAAAACATCTGTACTTTGATGAAAGGAATGTGGGCTAGAAAACTATAGCTGAGAAACAATACTTTCTATTCAGCCTCGTTGTTTTAAACTCTGAGTTGGTTTAGTGAGGAAAATAAAGAGGAAAAAACTAGGACCAAAAAGGAAAGGAGAAATTCAATAAGTCATAGACAAATAGACTAGAGTGCTACACCCAGTGTATTCTGGCTCAGAGCTAAATTTCCAAATTCTATTCTCAGCCAGAAACTACAAGTAAAAGGAATCAGGAAGCAAGAGCTTAGGTTTCTAGCTTTGGGCTAGTAGTCTTTTTTAAATGATCTGATACAGTTCTGAGTAGGACTTAAAAAGACAAGAGCCCCGCATGGGGTAAGAAGGCAGCGCCTATCCCTGAAGTTTCCTGAGCACTCACTGGCCCAGTGTCCCTCCTCTCCCCAGCACGATTCACTGAGCCACACGTACCTGCTGTAGGATAGAAAGGCCAGCAGAAATAGGAGACATGCCAACACGTCAGCTCTGCCAACAATCCCAGCCACCTAGGAGTTTAACACAGTAACAATTTTAAAACTCAGAAAGTTATTCTCAGAATATCTAACAGAAATGTTTTTGTTTTGTTTTGTCTTTTTGGTACTGGGGATCGAACTCGGGACCTTGCGCTTGCCAGGCAGGCGGCAGAACCACTGAGCTAAATCCCCAGCCCACAGAAATGTTTTTTATTTTAGATAAATGAAAAGTATAATAGAAAATGCACTGTTCTTCAAATTCTCATTTATGATTAACCACTTCTGACTAGTACATATAGAGTCCACCAAGAAAATGTATATATACTTCAGCAGTTCCACATACAAATAAATGTCTGGAAGCTAATGAACACCACTTTGAGCATGTCTTCTAATTGTAGAGTCCAAAGGTAACCTGTATTAATCTCATGATGTTTCCATAAAATTAGTATTAAAATATATATACAAGTTTTTATTTTCCTGAAGTGTGTATACATTTTTTGATGGACTCTATATATTTAAAAATAAGGTATAATAGAAGAAAAATAGGAAGGGAAAATTTTTCATGCTTTATTTTTAACTTCTCTGTAGAAGGACAATTGACAACATTAAAGTTTATTCATTGATTGATTTATCACGGAAGGCTTTAAGGGCTGGGGTTGCACCTCAGTGGTAGAGCCTTGCCTACCATGCATAAGGCCTTGGGTTTGAGCCCCAGCACCACACACACACACACACACACACACACACGCAAAATCTTTTGAACAAACTGACTGTCGGACACTGTGCTAGTCTTTGAGCATCATACTGATAATGGAGCAGAGAATATTTACATTACAGAAAGAAAACACAAGCTGAAGAATTATACTTTAGACACGAAACAGAATGAGTTTGAACTCATAATTACTAGACAAGAGTGTACATTCATGTAAGAGAGTGTGTGTGTGTGTGTGTCTGTGTCTGTGTCTGTGTGTGTATTTAGCTCTGCCACTGAAAGGGCTTAAAAGCAATATATCCCATAGCAAAGAGCCATCCTGGCACCAACCACAAGCCATTCTCCCCTAAAGACAACATCAACTCCTTAAAAGAGAGGCTGAGTCCAGAGCAGAGTGTGGGGAGATTCCAGAGGAGCTTAGATCATCTTCCCATGTCAAAAAAAATAAGGAAGTACTGAAAAAATGACAGTCAAAAGGACACAGAAGCCAACCACAAGGGGCTCTTGCTGACCAAAACTAAAATGAACTAAAATACTGAAATAAATGAGAGCCAAAATACATTATAAACCATTGGAAAAACAAATCCATGCATCCATATGGATAACAAGTGGAGGATGAATGAAGGACATACATGCAATTACACACCTACAAGAGCAAGGGGTGAGAAAGAAGGCTAGTTCTTGCTTCATTAAAAAGACAGCTATTTGCTTCCAAAAGAGTAAAGGAAGAACAAGGAACATCAAAAATATCAATAGGGGGAGGTGTAGCTCAGTGGTAGAGCACTTGCCCAGCAGCACAAGGCCCTAGGTTAGATCCCTAGAACTGAAAAAACAATGCTAAACCTAGTGCATGAAAACTTTGGAGGCACAAGATATTTGCATGGCTTCAAAGTATTTCCATATCAACTACTTACTGTCTAGAAACATTTTTTAAATACACTACAGAGAAAATGTGCTACAGTACATTATACCTTCCCTGAGGAATCAAAATTAAAGTCACCACCCCTGAGAAGAAAATATCATTTATGCATTATTCTAGCTAAGAATAATATACCCTAAATATAACCACAAGAAAAGTCAATAAACACAACAGCCCGTAAAATATAGACATGTCATATATTAAATATAATCTATTAATATTTAATAATATCACATTTTATTGTATCTTAATCTATTCTGGTTTATATTACATTATTCCTAATTATATTATGATTTATAATCATAATATTGAATATATTATATGCTACAGAGGTATTATACTGTGGTACTTTTGTTCATGAACGTAATTCATTAATATGTTAGATACCAAATTTTACACATTCTATATATTTACATATTATGTATATTTACAGGTTACATATTATGTCTATATTATTTTACTCATGTTACAGATTTTTTAAATATACTATAGTATTAAATTTTACTATATTACATAGTATAGTAATTTGTATCTATACTATCGCTTCTTGACCTTTTGGCTAAGATCAAGTGTAATTTGTATATACTATACTATTCTTATTTACATTACAAATTTTAATATATGCGAAGTATATATGTCATAAATTATATATTTACATAATATATACTTATATTATAATTGCACACTGTATATAACATTTATGTATTACAATCATAAATATAAGCACTTCATATTATACACATTTAACATAAATTCTAAATTACATTAAATGAATGAATTATAGAAAGACAATAAAGATTAGCAGCTGTTCCAAACTAAAGAAGACTAAAAAGAAATTATGAGTGACGCTCTCAGTTTAACACAACTGAATCATTAATGTGGAAAGCAGCATGAATTAAGCAACCCACTCTCACATGTTGCAGGACACAATCCAGTATTTTCACAGAGGGAGAGAGACGAAGAATGACACGTGCTAAAATGTTAAAAATTAGTGAATTTGAGAAAGAATAATCATTCTGTGGTTTTTTTAAGTTAGAATTTATTTCAAAGATGTTACTTCAGAGTGGCCTGAGCTGGAAGTGGAGTGTGAGACAGACAATTCTTTGTAAGTCTGTGCATTATTTTGCTATGTAAGATATATGTGCATTTCCCTTCATTAAAATCAAAGAAAACTGTAAAGGTAAAAGGGATATAGCTCTTAAAACGCTTTGAAGAAAAGCTCCCAGAAGAGCTAAATGAGACACAGCTCCCAAGGGAAGGTTAACATTTTGGGCACAGAAATCAGCACCCCTAGTCACATAGAGCCTGAGGTCCTGTGTGTTGCAGAATCACTCAACAACAGCAGAAAATAATTTCCTGAGAAACAGACCCACACACGCCCTCCCACAGTGAGCGGGCTTCTCCGTGATAAGGGCGCAGTGCCAGTCCAAACCACAAATTCCCAGAACCAGGCCACCAAGGCTTCAAGACAGACTCCTCTGCCATCTGAGTGGGATTTCATGATTGCCGCTTGAGATCTGGTTTTGGTGTGACTGTGATGGGTTGCCTCTAAAGCAATGACTCATGTAAGTGCCCTCCTGGAGAATGCTGGTGTGACTGCTTTCTTCCTTTGCCTTTCAAAGAAGATGGAGCTTACAACAGTGACACAGGTGTTCCTGCATGGGTTACGAAAATTGTCTTTCCATGCTAAAATTGACACATGACATCTTTACTTCACTTTGTTAGACAGTCTAACATACCTAACAGTTAAGAATTTTAGTAAAAAGTAATCCGAGTATATGCACACTGACAGCAAGTCACATACTGAAAAGAATTCTAGTCTAACACCAAGAGAAAGCTGGACCTGGCCAAAGAACTGCACAGGCAGCCCCAGAGCTGAAAGCTCTTACTGACCACACACTGCTCACTGGCTGGTTAATCTATAAGGAACCCGAGCCCAGTCAGGTCGGCTCTGGCAGTGTGGGATCACCATGGTATGCAGACACAGCTCAGACTCACTGCCTGCAGAGTAACCATTGCACACAGGTCCTGGGTGAAGCCTGGACCTGCTCAGTCTACCCCACAGCCTCCTTGGGCCTGCAGCTCAGCATCACAGCAAGGTCTGCAAAGCTTAAACAGAGGAGACAGCAAGCCCACCAGAGTCTCGAATAAAGCCAGGTTCTGGGCCCAGATCAATGCTCATCACAGCACAACTGCTTGGGCCAATGGCAAGACAAGCAAACTGACACTGGAGTGAAACAATCACAAACCGGGCGAGCATAACTAATGCACTAAAGGCATCTAAAAGCCCTGCTTCTCACCCGCAGTCAGTCTGGAAGCAGCAGCAGCAGTACATGTAGGCTGACTGTACCAAGATACGGAGAATCCTGTGTCCCTTAGAAAAATCCAGAGCAGGTGCTAAAACATCAGTGGTAACTAGCAGGCTCCCTGGCCAGTCCAAACCACTAAGCATGCATTATATCCCCACTGAGGGTAGGGTGTCTGTCATCATCTGCTATGTGGCTAGAGCAGCCTTTGCCTATTTTTTCATTAATCAACAGCACCAAACTTAGTGATCGTGTTTTATCCCAGGGAACACAAATGTTCCAAGTGCCTCTTGTTTGCCAGATACCATGCCAACTGGAGGGACTTTATCATCTGATGGCATCAGAAGAGGTATTAATATAATATGGAGAAGTCACATGCCTGAGAAGAGGTGAAATCATTGCCAGGAGAAGACCAACAGGATTAATTTTGACCAGAGGATTGTGGGAGGCTGGACAGAAGGGCTGGCTTCTCAGTCTGAGGCTTAAAGGACAGGAGGTGAGGATTTCAGAAAGCTCACAATGGGGAATGTAATGTCTATACCAGAAGACGAATCAGAACGCACTCCAGTTGGAGGACAGAAGAGCAGCAGTGAAAGAGGTCTGATGATTCAGTAATGTTTCTGGAAGGGGCTGCTGACAGTGATGAACAGCATGGAGTCTAGAAAAGAAAGGGCCACTGGAAGCAGAGATGGAATGTTAGGTTTGTCCAGTTGGACTCGGCTCTATGACAATGCAGGCTGAACTATATGGTTAGAAAATGAAAAAATAACTGATCACTAGATGCAGTGGTATATACCTGTAATCCCAGCTACTCAGGAGACTGACACAGGAGGATCACTAGTTCAAGGGCAGCCTGGGCAAACTGACAAGACTGTGTCTCAAAACAAAAAATAAAAAGGGCAAAAGGGCTGGGGGTATAGCTCAGTGATAGAAAAACTGCCTAGCACACATAAGGCCCTGGGTCAAATATCCAATGCCACAAGAAAAAAACTTTTTTAAAGCAACTGATCAATCATGGTAAGAAGTAAAAAATATATGCTAAAGGACAGAGTGTATTTTGGATTTAAGCAGCAGGTGTTATGGCTTGCATCTAGAT